GTAGGTATTGTATTTTTTAGTTTGGGCGGATTTGAAAAGTGTAAGTAATGTTATCCTTTTAATTTTTTGGTTTTCTATTAGGTTTTAAAAGAAGATGTTTCCAAACTCATGCTTAAGAAAAATGCGCATTAGACCTGAAAAAAGCTTGGTGGCGTCCGCAATTTAGGGTTTTCATGCAGTGTGCATCAATATCGAGGACAACTATTTTATCGCAGATATTATCATTTAGGGTTATATATGCCATTTGAAGCGTAAAAATATAATTCGCTGTTGAAAGAAAATGTTCAGGCCATGTCAAATAATGAGAAAATGCGTAAGAAGCCAGGTTTGGATTTTATATCCCCAAGTCACATAGTATTTTTATAACAAGGTGTAGCTAGTGCATCCTTTGATAATAAATAACAGTGTTTGCTTGACGTACCGAACATTTCGACATAGCAAGAGTTGACTCGCCAGTTTTTTTTCCTCGGGAAATAATCAAGTTGACATCTACTTAGCAGCAGTGGTGTAAATTCGAAAGGGAGCATGCAGACAGTCGGGAATTGTGGCAAGAGTGGTAACTAGATCCACGCACAAACAGTTTTTTGTTATGCCCTTTGTGTTTAAAATCTTCAACCGGCCTAATCAACTTATGTGAATTAGTATGATAGCAAAGATGCTCTCTAAACAGCTTATTTTTGCGAAAACGTCCATTGTATCGGTAGGATTTTTTTAATAGGATGGGCCGTTAGTGTCCAAACGAACCCATGGTGGGCAAACTGAATACGCGATAATAAATTGACTCTCCTAACTCAACTATATTAGTTTGGCATGATGGTCGTCATTTTTATAGCACATAATAAAAATTGCAAAAAAGACAATTCCGAAGGCGATTTTCATCAAAGAATAGTCCTTTTTTAATTTTCTTTACCTTTGGAAACCAGCGCTGAATATGCTTAGCAGTACTTTGCTTGAAAAAACTCTAAACTGATAAGAAATAAAAACGGCTAATTTTTAGCCTCTGCTCTTTGTCCGTCAGCAGCTTTTTTCCAAATTATTGAACAAATGGTAACTCGAAAGTCATTCGAATAGGATACATACAACATCTTGTAAGGCATAGTTTTTAAAAACCATTAAAAGCTGCATTTTCCTCAACAGATTTTACTTATATGTAGGGTTCTATACACGTTTTTAAATCAGACGCTCATCTGCTGACCGAAAATAATCAAGTTCGCAACCCAATCTTCTCAGTATATTTCACGTAGTCTGCAATACAGATAAGCAGATTAAATTAAACCTGTTTTTTGAGTTACGGCTAGCAATAGTATAATAACGAATCGAGTTTACCATCTAAGAGTGTCAAACAGCCGGATAAACATTCGTTTCAATCTAATGTTTTTAGGTTATATCTGTATATCCGTTGTGGTTAATTACCTAACACAAAGCTAATTTCAACTTATTAACTGAGGAGGCTTCCGGACCATCTATCATATCCGATCAATGAACAAAAAGTGTCCCTGCGCTGTGCGATCGGGAGGCTTATCTCATTCAAACGTTCAACTATTATTGTCACCATTTACAATATCCTTTTGTTTCCTGCCTGGAATGTGAGTGATTGAGCAAAATGAAAACTGCAGTTATCCCATAAGTAGAAAAAAGACCATGCATTACGTCATGGTGTTATAGGAGAAACGGCTCATATTTGAAGCCAACATTGTCATTAATCAGCTATATTTTCCACAAACGTCGCTAAGACAAGCAAACATTTTGCCGACCTTCAAAAATCAAAAGTTCTCTCTGGTTACTTAGTCCTAAAAACCCGAAAAAATCAAAAGTAATGTGCGGAACCAGGAAGAGACGGCTTTAAGGAAAGCTCGATGTAGAGCATTTGCATATTTTCATGACATAACGTAAGCCCAGAACGTAACTATGCCTGAACGTAACCTATTCAAATGCAATTTAGTTTTTAGCATCTGAAAACTTGAAGCGCATCCTTCTTATCAAAGCGGTTACTTTGGAATTTGCCTCGCTTTCTGCGCCAATTAGAAAAATTCTCATGCAAACTAAAGTTAATATACACAAGAAACGTTGGCAAGGATGCTAAATGGGTTTTCCGTTATTATGTATATATGCTTTCAGTAAGGTAATTCATTCATGCCCAATTGTGTATGTGTTTATTTGAAGAATAGGCGATTTGATCACTTTGCCCTATGCCTTTGGGGCATGGCATATGTGTACCAAGGTTCATTATCGAAAATTTGACACCTAGGTGACGCCTTCTAATCACGATGTTGGCCTTTTCGTGTATTTCTTATGCGCACAAAAGCCTGTCGCTCTCAAACAAAATTCATTAGTTAACGCTCAGGTAGAGCCTCATTTTTTAAATATTGCTTTCTCTACTGGCAGTTCTCTGTAGCTTACCAACTGAGTTGCTTCAGTAATCATTTAAAAAGCCTACCGTTTATGCACATAACTTTTACGGATATCCTAAAAGGCCATTTTATCCCTTTTGCAGGTCAACACATAAATGGAAACCTTTTTTGCGCGAATACTTTGAGTTCCGATAATGGAAGACGCCTTGTCTCCGAATAACGCTACATCCATCTACCAGAGGTATCCCGGTGGTCATTTGCTGAAACGTTTTGTGCCGGATGCCTTTTACCTTAAACTCTACGCTTCCCCTGTATGGTTCTTCGTCGGCCTCATAGGCAACGCGATTTCCTTCCTCATCTGGGTGTCCCACAGACAGCGTGGAAAGAACAGCTCCGCCATTTACCTTGCCGCACTGGCCCTATCGGATTTTTTCCTCATCCTTCTACTCTTCAGCGACTATTTGCGTCGTTTTCTGTTCTTTGAGTCACCCATCACAGTCAACGGTCTATGCCAACTTTTTCAGGGTGTATTCCTCTTCCTGCAATATTACTCCATCGCTCTGACTTTTGGCTTTACGTTGGAACGCTGGATCGCTATCTGTTATCCCTTTAAGCGTCACAAGCTCTGTTCATCTCGCAGGGCCCTGATCGGTGTGTCCGCGCTGGCTGTAATTGTGATCAGCTTCAATGTGTTCTATGCGGCAGCCTGGGAAATTGTTGACCATGAATGCGTTCTGGCCGCCCGATGGCAGGACGACTCCAGCTTCTACATCTATCTGTCCACAGTTGAGTGCGTCTTCTCCCTCCTAGTACCTCTGGCGACACTGGTCTTTAACATCCTTGTTCTCCGAGAGATTGGCAAGCTGGTGCGTTCGAAGATCATCGTCAAGGGTCAGAACTCGAGTCTCTTTAGACAACGCTCCTCCACAAAATCTGCTCATGTACCGGAGCATCAACTGATTCTGGGCGCGAAACACAGCGGACACAGCGCTAGCGCCAAGGAACAGTCAAATTTCCACGCGGCGACTGTCATGCTTGTCATTCTGTCCTTCTATCTCATCCTCTGTACTCTACCGGTGGGCATAGTTTTTGTGGTACAAATGCGTTTCACCAGTTTCTCTGAGTTCCTCACTGACGAGGAGGTGTTGCAACATCCGCAGTGGCGAGAATACTTTGGGTTTCTGCGGGCCAAGGAGATTGTGGACTTTCTCTGCTCCTCGCATTATGCCTGCAATTTCATCATTTATCTCATTACGGGTAAGAGTTTTCGGTCGCAACTGCTGGACACGCTGGCCTGTCGGCACAAGAATTCGCGGACGGATATGACCTCGGCGGTAAATCAGCCCGTATCTCATGTGAGCCGAGTTGGTGGGAAGGTTCAGGAGCCTGCCAGCAAGTCAGAGCTTGGGAATCCAGCAAACCGAAGGAGACAGTCTGCTCTAGTTAACCAACAAAACAATACCGATTGGCTGGAAGTGCCTGGTTAGATCTAGGCAGCGAAGAATAGAGAATGTGAGCACCAAGTACCTTATTGCCAAACTTGACGTTCACTTGTTTAAACAGCCCCTTTTTGCAAATGAAGACCGAGCAGCCTGTTTGCAATGCTTCAAACACAGGTGGACTATGTGTACATATGAACATCATAATATAAATTTTTTTACTAAATCCTGAGACGTTTGATTCCTTGAGGTTCCATATCCTAACTATTTGCGTCTTCTTGCATAATGCTGAAAAGCAATGAACTATGCCTTTACAAATGACAACCGATAAGCATGTTGGCACGATTAAGGTGTTCACGACGTCTGAGACAGCAGAACAGTACTCTTCTAGAAATGGGGGGCTGAGTGTATGATATGTTCCAGTTGATCCAGTTTTGAAAAATGTTCGGCTTCCATGGGAGTCGAACCCACACAGAAGGGAAGGCTTTTGCGCAGCCAACGCTCTACCACTTCGCTACGAGGCTCATCATGAGACGTAGATTTAATCGCACATGTTTCAATTTTGCCCACTCAACTTACTGCTCGTATGGAATACACCATTACGGAAGAGCAAGCTGACTGCCTAGGCAGGACTGCCTAAGCATTCATCTAGAATCCACTAGAATGACTACTAGGCTAACTTAAATGTTAGAGAGGTTAGATAGATTTGCTTAATTCAGTTGACCCAGTTATGATATTTATTCCTGAAATGTGAGTTTGTGTTATTGGTTAAGTTACATAGGCTTTGGTTGGGCATGTCGTGTTTCGCAAAAAACCTGGTTCGAATTTGAAATCCTAAGCTACGTAAAGGCATGATAAAAGCCGTACTTTTACATATATATGGTCGTGGTCGTTCATCAAATGCGTTAAGAGGCTCGACCTGTAGCCCCACTTGACGTCGTACAAAGACTACAGGTATATAAGGGTGACGAATACGAACGGAAGGAGACATAAGGGGCCATCATGAGCCAGTCATACCCAACTATAATCTTTACAGTCCGATGTTTACGTAGTCCAATGAACCCCAGGCCCGTTGTCCTGTCCGTCGCGTTCGGAAATAGTAGCAATGACAAGGATGGTTCTTATTTGGCTCGGAGGGCTCACTGCAAATCTTCTAAAACACAAATAACATTTTTTTGCTGCAAACTAATGAAGTCAGTTCCGCAGGGCGTCGTACAAGGCAGAGGAAATATAAAGGAAAAAAGCAATAACCAGTTAAAGCGTGCTTAAAAAAATTAGCACATGTTTAACGTTTGCGCCAGTAAACGGCACTATATGTAGTTCTGTTATGATTGGCTTTCGTCTCTTCACCTCCCCTCAGATGTTTTACACGGCATTCTATTTATTTAGCTAGATCGATGCCAAATTAATCTGAGTGTATGCCCTTGAGAAACAGGCACACTTTCTTGAAAAATACTAGTTACTTGTCCGGGGCATGTGTGTCCAGTATAAAAGTCCACTTACAATAAGTGCCCTCCACGGTTTAGTCCCAGTGTATCCTACACATTAATTGTAATCTTGCAAACGACTTCCTCTTCGTCCAAATACCTGGCGAGTCGTTCTGTGCCTGAAGCTCATGTATACACTCGTTGAAAGGTATAAGTGAAAGCACCAGATTTAATTGGCAGAAAAATCGATCATTGGGTTAGGGCATAGAAATATTTAACTTTTTTTATAACAGTGTTCCGGCAGACACCTGGCGTACTGTGATATAGCTTTTTAGGGCTATTGGCCCTCATCAGCCACAGGCAGCCAACTCTAGGAATAGATCGGTGCACAAACAAATAATATTTAAATTTCTTTAAATTCAGTATAAGGTTTACTTTCTTGTGCTGGGATTTGGGCTAGCTAATGGTTCATGAAGACTATGCACTCAGAGTAAACATCCATCGATCTGACAAATCGAGTTGAGTGACGTGTAAAAATATCCCAGGGGGCAATGCGAGAGACAAAATCCATTCCGAAAAGGAAAACAAATAGGACGGTCGCTTTCAGGCGCCAACTTTGAACACGCGTAGACTGTTTTAGCTTGTTCGAAATTTTAATGCTTCGGCACACTTTATCTTACCCTGGTGACGGGCT